ACCTCCCCCTTAGCAGTGGTGTTTAAGTTTCTTGAGGAGAGTTTGCAAGGCCTACGCTCAACCTTCCCTCTTCCCCGGTCTTACTGCTGGCTAGACGGTTAAGGAATGCAAGAGTCGTGCGTGGAGGGCGAATGTTCTACTAATAAACCAATGGAGCAAATAAGTATGTATAATAGCCTAAAGTAGTAATGTGTCCGTGTTATATACTCCCTTATTTTATCGAGACGTTTTTCCACTACTCTAAATTCCCCGCATTTTAGAGTTATTATGTATTCATGAGGAGCCATAGTGTTTCCTATTCAAGAGGAAGCCTCGACTCTGATTGGTTAGCAGTTTTTCAAACCTATCAGTTAAATTTAGAGTTTTTCTCGATATCACTTAAAACTAATAAATTCTTAAAATGAGTTTCGCTTGTAATTTTGTAACGACAGAAGACAAGGGCCAAGCAACACATTGTTTATTGAGAAAATCAAGAGGTATTTATAGGTTTTCATGTGCATTATTATTAGCGTTATTGTTAGCGGAGAAGCAGCCTCTTTTGATTGGTTGTTTTCTTGCTGACTGTTATTCTGTTATCTCTTTGTGGCCATTTCTCAAAAAAATCAAGCCATTTATCTGTGAATCATTTTCCCACAGTTAAACTCCTCTGTGATTGGCTGGTGATTTTCTCAAGGTTAAGCTTTGTTATTGCTTTTTCTCATGACCCTGATTCGGAAAGTGAACACTGACGTTAATTGTTGTCTACAATTTTGGCTTGCAGTCAGCTCTCACTACAATTTCAAAAAGTGAAGATTCTGTCGGCGGAGATTTAAATTAGCGATTCGAGTAGTTTTCATCAGTGCGATACCTTCATACTGTTCATAGTTTACTACGACGTTTTACCAGTCATATCATTATGGATATTTGGACAAGTTGAATAGAACTCAACAGACAGCATCACTAATCAGTTACCATTCCTGACTAGTATGCCTGAGGATGATTGACATCTTTCAGTCTGTTTCGCTGATAACTGAAAAATTTTCCCAAGATGTGAAAATTCAATATGAAGTAATATTGTTCTATAGGGTGGCTTTTCAGTCAACCACTAAGATTTAATAATCTGACTAAACTTGAACTTGGCGCCTTGAGAAAGGTGTATCCTTGTTTCTAATGTCTTCTATTTCAACTTTTTATTGTTGCTGTTTGTTTTCCAACTTGGAAACTAAACTATATCTTAGGAAGATACTTGTGTTCAGTTAATTTTTGAAACACTTGGGATTTTACAGATTAAATTAGGGAGAGGATGAGTGACAGTGTGTAGTTAGGCTAGGCTGTTTTGTAAAAGTTTAGACTTACACTTGGTACAAGAAAATATTTTACGCAGAAGTTAAATAGTCAGACACATTAGGATTCACTTGAATTTTGTTTGATAAAATTTAATTAAAACCATATTTCCATGTTTCACTTCCAAAATCTAAGGTTAAGATATTCTAATTCTTCAATCATAGCAAAGTATTCGTCTTATCCTTACACATTCCCGTTGAATGACTGCAATGGACTGAAATGTTCAGCTCCTGTTGACATATCGTATGTCGGCAAGGACGCTTCAAAGATTTCTGGGAATTAACATAATTTTATCTTGGCGATTGGTGACAAGAACTGAGATCGAGGATACGTTCTTTGTCTTGTTTGGGACTCGTCATCGGAATGCACTCGCATTCTCAGTGAATGATGGTGTTCTCACCGAGACTCGAAGCTCCCACACATCTTTACAGACGCAAAAGCATTAAACACAAGGTCACTGGAAAACGACAACCACCACTTGTGCTGTGATTGTCAGTCATCGTTTGTTTAGTTCGAATTTGTATTTCATTATAGGGAAAATATTCACTTAGACATTTGGAAAACAAAAGAAAATTTGAGCAAAGAATATTCCTCTTCTGGCTCTATAATTATATGCATGTGTTTGTATACTTAGAATATTCTAGAATAATCTACATGACCAATATTAGTGTTTTTTAAATAATATCGATTTGCTAAGATCATTGAAATTACAGTTCAAGAAAGACGCTTAAGTTATAATAAGCGTAAAAATGTAATAGAAAATAGAATATCAAATAGAATTAAGAAAATTCATACAAAAAATTGAGGATCATCAGAATCTTGAGGGTCAGGGGGTAAGGGCAGTGTCTGAACCAGCTTCTTTTCAATATATAAGTTAGGTTTCAAAATGTAGATCCACACAGCCAGCCTCAGCCACATGTAGTAGACGAACTCCTAAGGTAAAGTTAGGATTATTTGGTACGCGGTAGATGAATTTGAAAGCCTTGTTTACATCAGTTTTGTGTTCTGTATCTAAGAGATGAGATCGTATAGATGTTCAGACGTTCGACGATAAACACCCCTAATTGTACGGCCTATGTAACTGGCTCTATATGAGTAGAAAAACTGGTACATACACATAGAAGAGAAGAAATTGGATTGTTTATCTTCAACCCCCAATCGTTAAATAGGAGGAGAATATTCTTCAGTAGTATCGAAAGCTCTTTCTACTGCATTCCATAGGCATTGTGTTCATATCCCACTGATGTGATATCACCGAGGAAATGAACTTGTAAGGACAAGACTTTTTCTGGACTTGCTGGCATTTCAGTGTGCCTTGACTTTTGGTTTACATTCTTATGTATGAACTTTTCTGGGTAACCATTCTCATCAAGGAACTGTTTGACAGTATTAAGCTCTTCATTGAGACATTCCATCAAAGCAGATTTCTCTTATTCTGTTGACCAAGCATTTTATTACATTTTTGCATTTTAATACAAAGGTACAAAGCTTAAAAATTATTCTACTGACCAGTTGATGTGGATTTTCTATAAATACACTTCTTATTGTACCGTCCTCTTTTCCTTCCTTCTCAGTGGTACAACATTGCAGAATGCACATCGTTAGGTTTGTCCAGCATGGAATAATGCTCTTGTCCACACCAAGTAAAATACTAAGTCACGTCACCCTGGAAAGGATAAAGAATGCACTGGATACAGAACTGCTCCCGGAACAAGCAAAATTCAGGGAAAAATGCAACTCTACGCATCATCATCCTGCATAGCGTAGAATGGCAGTCAGACCTCTACGTCAACCTCATTGACTTTGAAAAGGCCAACATCAGACAGCCTTCGCCGAGAAGTAATTTGGACACTACTTGCCCACTACGGTGTGCAGTGCCCAAATTTTTATCGGCCTTATTCAACAACCTGCTGTATCACAATTTCCTGTGTAAGGTGATCCACAACGGAAAACAGTGAAACGTTCGAAGTGAATACAGGAGTACAGCATGGCTGCCTATAATCACTGATTATATTCTTAATTGTGTTGGACTGGATTATGCACCAGACTGTGCAGGAGAGCGAGAAGGCGGGAATACGCTGGACCACCTACAAGAAGACTCTAGAATATCTGGATTTCGCGGATGGTATATGTCTAATATCACACAAACTCGAAGACTTGCAAATGAAAACTCACAAATTAGCTGAAGAGGCTGGCAGCTAAGACATACATGCAGGTGAACACAGAGAGGAAGGAGGTGATGAAGATAACCAACCACCGACGACAGCAATAAAAACAACCAGCACCAATCACTGTCAACACGAGAGAACTGACATAGGTTACTTCTATCACTTATCTGGTTAGGAAGTGTGGTTCCAACCACAGGCGACAGCACTAATGAATCTGTTAAAGCGAGCCAGTCAGAATCGGAAAGGCAAGGTACGCCTTCATTACCCCGAAACCAGTTTGGGAATCTTCTGCACTCTGCGTCAACATAAAGAACAAGACTCGGATTTTCAAAAGAAATGTAAAGGCAATCAGTCAGCTGTTCTATATGGAGCAGAAACTTGGCAGCGGCGTCCCGAAAAGCTTTGCCACCAAGTTACAGACTTTTATCAAGAGCTGTCATCGCTGGCTACACACTGGCTACACCAGCCGGCCGGAAAGAATTGGCATGGAGAAACTCTGGCTGGCAACAAACCACATGAGACCCGACTACTCAACGAACATGTAAGAGAAAGTGGAGATAGATGGAGCATACGATGTAGAGGCCATAGAATGTCATCACGTACAAATGCAGGCCATTGCTCTTGTGGAACCTGAACTGGAAGAGAAGAGTGGGTCGTTAGTGAGAGGGTGATATGGAGAAGACCTTGCAAGTTGGTGGAGATGCGAGATTATTAGCAATCGTGAGGTAAGTTGAAGAGGACGACAAAGAATAGAAGAAAGTAGAGATATATTGCTGAAACCCTGTGTTCCACTCGGAACCCAAGGAATTAATAATTGATTTTCACAAATCCATAATAATTTGAAAAACAGCTCTATTGTTGATAATGACTATTCTAGAATATTCTGTGTTCCTAAATAAATACATTTGTATAACCGGAAGAGAAGATTATCGCAAAGAATATTCTTTGCAAAAGTTTTATTTTGCATTTCATGTTGAAGCGATCAGAGTTGATTTCGAGCCTCACTGGGAACATCACCATATTTAACTTCCTGAGTGTATAAATTGAAAATTCCTGAGATGTGGGGTCTCGAAGCTGTGCATAAAAACAAACAGTCATCAGCAGAAACTACTGGTGGTAGTACCATATCTATAAAAGACGTAAATGGTAATTTATGAGAAATTAACGTTTTTCTGAGTTATGTAGGTGCTAGCCCTAGGTTCCTTGAAGTTCTGATTTCCACTCCCTAGTTGATTCAGTGATGTTTATTAGACAAATGCTCCCAAACTAAGAAGGAAGCAGCTATCCAGTACTCCTTTAATGCTGCCGGCTTGGCGACGACATCTGGCATGACATGAATTAGGACTATAAAAGTAACTGTGCCTCTGCTTTTTTTCCAAACTTTAATCAACCTGTATGACCTTTTTCACATCTAATGTCTCTTACCATTGACAAACATAAAATAAATAAAATCAGGTACAAAAAGGATCTTGATCAAAGGGAAATTAAAAGCGTATCCACAATACATACCAGATATGGTCCTTTTGCAATCCGACATTTCAAATGTATTGTATCACCAGTGTTATACTTCAAGAATTTGATACCTGAATTTGTACTAATGATTGGCTCATTTGTCGGTTTCAAAGCGTTGGCAACCTTTTGTGGTGTACCTGCTACTTGGTTACTGCTGATTTTAGGTGATTCACTGGCTTGAACAAGTGAGTCTGCCTTTGTAGTCACATTTGAAATGTTGTCATAACTAATTGTCTTGTTGATGAGTTGTACACCAGTGCTTAGAACAGCGGAATCTGTACAAAATAGACAAAAAATATACAAGACGATTATTACTTTCGAGTTTTGAATATTAGGAATTCGGTCAGTTTCAAAGTGGGTCTTGCCACGAACTGATATCAGCTGCAACATTACTGAAAATCAGATGGGACTCAACGGTTACTTCATCCTAGTTCTATGAACAGATAGGAAGAGGGATACATGAGACAAGGGGTCCTAGTCTGCTACCTGAATGCTCTACATGATCGCCTTCTAGCCTGGGATCTCGTGTTCAATGTTTTGTGGTTTTATGGGTGCACACTACTTAATAGTTCAAAAGTAGTATGAGTAAGGTGTCCAGTGGTTCGTGCTCGACAATAGACCTCAAACTTATATCAGCTGATGAAAAAATCTACTTGGAAAAAGATTATTACTCATAGAATGTTTACTTATTCCATATTAGATCAGTTTATTTGATGAGTAACATTATGGTATAGTGCTGAAAACTAGATTTATAGATTTGACATCGCACGTCTGAAACTGGTGAAATCTTGGATGAATTAATTCATATGAAATGAAGCAAATAAAGCTAGGCAAAATCCAAATAGAAAAGGACGAAAATATGATTAGCCTTGACGTGACAAGTATATATGCCAACGCCGTAAGGAATGAGCTGAACGCTGACTTTGAACTCACAAGTATAAACTACGGTTTTAGTTGAATTAGTGCCTGTGTGTGTTTAATTGCTTTACCTACACCGTACAGACATCTCAAAATACGGTATGCGAGTAAACACTGGTAGTAATGGACATATTTACAGATATTTGGGTCCTTAAAGCTCTCAGAAGTTTCAATCCTGCTCCTCAGTTATGGTGGATGTGTGTGAGCGACACACAAATCATGTTGAATTCTGAACAGGCAGCCAAATCCTTTACACATATATAATCAGTAGTATTTCGATTGGACACTGGTAACTAGTGTGATATGTCTAGTCCTATCTTCCGTGCAGTCTGAATTTTATCAGTCAGGTTTGCAATGTAGCCAACTTTCTGGTTAGCTCTCCATCACGGTGAACATTGATTTGATGATATAAAAAGGTTGGAGGTAGTCGGCAGCCAGGAAGACTTGAACCTAGGTTTTATGCTAGTTGGCACTCACCAGTCAGCAAGATGCATCTACAACCGCATTGAAGGAATTTATGCTTCTTCTGAGATTCGAACTTGCGTCACCCGGTGAGAGCTGCAGTCAGAGACGTTACCACTGATTGACCAACTGTAGGACTGTATTGGTTACCTTTGGTTGGACATTAGTTATTAACTAGTGTAATGTGTCCAGTCCTTTGTTTGGTGAAGACTAAATTCTGTCAGTCAAGAGATACGGTTTCGAATCTCAGAAGGAGAATGAGTTCCCTCAAAGTCGCAGATAAGTCTTGCTAACTGTTAAGTACCAACTGGCATGAAAGTTAGGTCAGTCGGGGATTCCTGCTGATTGCTTACGACCACCGGATATCAACAAATGACAGTGCAATGCACCGTGATGACGAGTCACCTACCATGGTGGTGACATTAAAAAATTGACTGATCGAATTCATTCTGCACCAAAGATAGGAATAGACACATTACAATAGTTACTGACTAGTGTCCAAATCATTCCACCTAAAATTTGTCAAGTTATGCTTAGTGGAATGTTTATGCATTTGAGTCTATGGCCTAACAAGTGAGTCAGAAGACTTATATGTTGAAGTTAAACAAATAAAGACAACATTAATACTAACCCTCAGAATTCATCCAGATACTTATTTACAATCCTAAAGAAAACAGTAGCAATGGACATAATGGAAACAATTCTAATATTAAGGGATTTATAACCTTGATATTATTGAAAAATATAAAGGGGACATCATAAGCTTTACGTAGGATTCTTAAAACGGCTGGGTTAAGGTTAATACTTAAACCAACCAACTCAATCAAAGACAAACCTTGCCGGCTTGGAAATTCACACATACAATTAGGAGAAATAATATAATTCACCATATAATCACTCTGAGGTCAGTTATATAGGTCAAATTAGTAAATCGTTGTCCGCTGGGCAGTGAGAAAATTTGGAGTTATGCTACATCCAGACTGACTAACGCTGAAATGTTAAATAATTTCGAAATAAAAATTGGCCTTGTAATGCATTCACTTGTATATATTCACACGATAAAGGGAGATAGGGCAGAAGTATCAAAAAGTAATACAGTATTGTGAAGAGACACGTTAATCACTGAATTTTCCTTCATCGAATCAACATCAAACACTTGCAATCGCAAAACTGCTTTGATAAACAGGAGGGAATAGGAGCATGTAAAAGTATATGGATGCCCTGATATGAACATATTAAAACGTCATCCAGCTTTCATTACTGTACCTCTCTGTACGTTATGCTTAATAAACATATCTAATATGAAATTAGATTCGAATACAATGCCCGATTGTTGCTCTCACACTGACGTATGTTCACTTATTATTATTTTCAACAAACACTGTCCAACCATTCAGTGGCAGATTTCCAGTATTTCATACTGCATACTATACTAGTCCCAGGTAGCCATTTTTATAATAAAATAAAAACGTAAGAAATGCATTCAGCGACGAGTAACACTTTCAACAATATCATTCTCAATTTATACAATCGTATATGCTGTCGTCGGTGAAAAGACCTACTCTCCGCTGAACATTTCTTTATTATGACCTAATTACGAATCTTGGACATCACGAAGAATATTTCCAAAAGACTGGAGACATTTATCGACATCTTCCTTCTCTCCATATTGAACGTCAAAAGAACAGAAATAATTGATATAAGAATAAAACTTGGGCACTGTGGTAGAGTGTAATTCCATTATGGGTAAATTTTATTTTGATAGAGTCTCACAGTGTTATACAGTAATATTTACTGATGACGTTTCGAGCACAATTTATTGCTCATAATCATATCAAGTTAATCACACGACTTCCTAAATTCATTTATATAGTTCCATTGTTTTTCACTTGATTTTCACTTGGTTTGATTGGTAGTATTATTTTCCATATTTCAGGTGTGAGTGATGAAACCGAAAATGAGCAAGGAGAATTAGCTATGTTAGATTGTAAAATAAAACGAATAGAAGAAGGCAAACTACACACTAGTGTTTATAGAAAACCAACGCATTCTAATAGATATTTAGACTTTAATTCATCTCATCCTTTAACTGTTAAGGCAGGCTCAGTTAAGTGTCTAACAAACCGAGCAATGGCACTAAGTAGCACAAAAAAAGACCTAAATGATCAAATAAAACAGATAGAAGAGGCGTTGGTTCTAAATAACTATCCTCTAAAATTCATTAGGAAGATTGAAAAACGCCAAAAGAACAATAAAAAGAATTGTGAAACTGCTAATAATAACATAAATAAGAGAGAATATAAGTCATCTACAGTTATACCATATAAAGAGGGGGCATCTGAGACCCTACGTAGGATTCTAAATAAAGCAGGAATTAGGGTGGCATTTAAACCTACAAACTCACTCAGGTAGGAGAAGCTCTGTAGGTTAAAGGACCCAGTGGACCCAATTAGACAATATAATATAATTTACAAAATACCTTGGAATGACTGTGAGTTAGGTCAACTACATAGGTCAAACTAGTAGGTCAGGGGTAGTCAGATTGTCAGAACATAAGAATTTAGCTAAGGTAAGAATGGTTGACCCAGAGAAGGTAAGTAATTTAGAAAAAAGCTCGGCAATTGCAATGCATGCATTAACACACAACCACACAATAGGGTGGGAGAGGGTTAAAATTCTATAAAGTAATCTAGGTAGGTGAAGAGAGGTTGATTACTGAATCCTTGTTCATCGAATCTACACCCAACACATGCAATAGGAATGAATCATCACTCATACCTGAAATATAGAAAATAATACTACCAATCAAACCAAGTGAAAATCAAGTGAAAAACAATGGAACTATATAAATGAATTTAGGAAGTCGTGTGATTAACTTGATATGATTATGAGCAATAAATTGTGCTCGAAACGTCATCAGTAAATATTACTGTATAACACTGTGAGACTCTATCAAAATAAAATTTACCCATAATGGAACAGAAATAATTAGCTGCAAGAAACTCTGGCGACGAACTAATCAAGGGCCTACGGCTCAACAGATATGCCAAAGAAAATGCAGTTGGATTCGAAAAACACACTAGCTACGTCATTTCTGGAATGGACCGCGAATAAGAAACAATGAATTGGGCGTTAGAGAGTGACATGGAGGAGACGAGGGCATGTTGACAATCGTGTAGATGGCTAAAGAGGACTTCAGAGAGGAAAACGAACTGAAGTTGGGCTATTGAAGCCGTATGTCCCTTTCAGAACCCAAGTAAAAATAATAACTGAGAATCTGAAGCTAATTAGATGTCGTAATCACATAAGCGTTTTAGACAGTGTTGTTATCGTCACTCTCACTTCAGATGGATACTGAGAATACAATTTTAAATACCTAATCCATTTTTATGAGTAGAATTTTGTCACCTATTTCACATGAATTAATACAAATATTTAGACCGACATATGTATAGGAGAATAACATTGTTTTCAACTAAATTCCCTAAGGATTTACCTAAATATGCATAACATTACGAATAAATATTGAGTGTGAAAGGAGTAGTTATAAATATAAACGTTAAAATAGAGGTAGAAGGTAAGCGCCTATAAAATATATAATAAGATTACGTAATATTAAATTTAAAACAGAAGTAGATTAACTGTGTTTTGGCGAATTGTAAAAAAGGGATTAAAAATAATAATAATCAAGGGAGGGTAGCGTAATTGTTTGGTTAATTAGTTATATATTCACTTTCCAGGAGAGAGATAATGGCTCAACTGACTTTTTCTCAAAACATATATTTCAACATTATTAGGTTGAATGGCCATAGACTCAGCACTATACAAAAGGAGGAATATTAAGGCTGTTGGACAAATTCGAAAGACGTTTTATGAACACTAGTCAGTAACTAGT